TGCTGGCATTGTGCCCACTGCCAGGAGAACATTGCCTAAGTGTGAGGCATATGGCTGTGGTGGTTCATGAATCTGGACACATCACTTTGTGTGTGTGTGTGTGTGAGAGAGAGAGAGAGAGACTAGTCCTAGGTCTTGAACTCAGGGCCTAGGCACTGTCCCTGAGCTTTTTTTTGGTCAGCGGTGGGGCTTGAACTCACAACCTGGGCGCTATCTCTGAGCTCTTTTTGCTCAAGACTAGTACTCTACCACTTTGAGCCACAGCTCCATGTCCAGTTTTCTGGTGGTTAATTGGAGCTAAGAGTCTCACAGACTTTCCCTGCTCCAGCTGGCTTTGAACCGCAATCTTCAGATCTTAGCCTCCTGAATAGTTAGGATTACAGGCATGAGCCACTGATGCCCGGCTCACTCATGTTTTTACCATCTTAAAGGTAGTGAGCTCAGTGAAGAATCTGCCATCACCAAGCTCTTCTCAAACAGAAGAGGGACTGAGGGAGATGAGCGCATGACGTGCCTAGGGCTGGCTGTGGTGACTGGAGCAGATGAGGTGCTCAGAATCAGGCTGGGGCTGGCACTCAGTAGGGCAGCCTTAGGTCCCCTCTCTCCTCATCCTGTGGGGTCCAAGGGTGGCTGTGCTTGATTGGGGGAATACTTTGGGATCTTCAAAGATGACCCAAGCTCCACAACAGACAGAAGACTAGAAAGAGCCAGGCCAACTCAGAGGAGCAGCTTCAGGACCAGGGGCTTTCCCCTTCTCTGATGTCTTCTGTGGCCTCCCACAGGCAGGAGTCCAAGGTGAGATCACTGCCTCAAGAAGGGCTGTGGGACTTCCAACCCTTCCCCTCCCCCCACCTCCATCCTGGGCCAGCAACTTCACTTTTCCCAACCTTCACATCCATTTCCTCAAGTGTGCTGCTGCATGCCATTGCATCCACTGCATTAAGGCATTGGTAAGCAGAAATTGGCAAGCAAAATGTGCTTTTGTGTGTGTGTGTGTGTGCGCGCGCGCGCGTAGTTTTCTTAGTTTGCTTGAAGAGACAGCATTCTACCACTTGAGCCACACCTTGAGCCAGATTTTTTGCTGCCTAATTGAAGAGTCTCAGGAACTTTTCTGCCCAGGTTGGTTTTGAACCACGATCCTCCAGTCAGCCTCCTGGGTAGGTAGGATTACAGGTGAAAGTCACTGCTTTTTTGTAACAAAGTCCTAGAAAAAACATCCAAATAGAGATAGAATTCTGTTTTAGGAATTGAGATATCTATCTATCTATCTATCTATATATATATATATATAGAGAGAGAGAGAGAGAGAGAGAGAGAGATGTATATTATAAAAATTGTAAGTAAAAAACTACATAAGTAGCAGGCAATGGACATGAATTTTTTTCTTTTTTCTTTTTCTTTTTTGCCAGTCCTGGGACCTGAACTCTGGGCCTGGGCACTGTTCCTAGGCATCTTTTGCTCAAGGCTAGCACTCTACCACATAAGCCACAGCTCCACTTCTGTTTTTTCTGTCATTAATTGGAGAGAAGAGTCTCACAGACTTTTCTGCCTGAGCTGGCTTTGAACTGTGATCCTCAGATCTCAGACTCCTGAGTAGCTAGAATTACAGGTATAAGCCGCTGGTGCCCAGTGACATGGATTTTTAAAAAACAAAAGGAAGTCATATTTACATAAAGTAAAAAGAAAAACTAAACAATACACCATTTAGGGACTGACAGCAAGGGAATGACTTGCAGAAATTCAGGAAAACAGTTCCAGGAAATGGGCAGGAGGCGGTATAGGGGCACGAAAAGGCTACACCTCACCAGCTACGGGCACTGGTTTCTTTTCTTTTCTTTTTTTTTTTTGTCGGTCCTGGGGCCTGAACTCTGGGCCTGGGCGCTGTCCCTCAGCTCTTCAGCTGCAGACTAGCGCTCTACCACTTGAACCTCAGCCCCACTTCCGGCTTTCTCTGCTTATATGGTGCTGAGGAATCGAACCCAGGGCCTCAGGCATGCAAGGCAAGCGCTCTACCACTGACCTACTTTCCCAGCCCCTAGTTTATTTTCTAAATTAAATAATATGTGGGTTCTTTGGAATTATTGCTACTTTTTTTCCTTTTTTTTTTTCTTTGCTGGTACTGGTTCTTTTTTTTGTTTTGTTTTGTTTTGTTTTGGGTCCGGTCATGGGGCCTGAACTCTGGGCCTGGGTGCTGTCCCTCAGCTCTTCAGCTCAAGGCTAGCACTCTACCACTTGAGCCACAGCACCACTTCCGGCTTTTTTCTTATGTGGTGCTGAGGAATTGAACCCAGGGCCTCAAGCATGCAAGGCAAGTGCTCTACTACTGAGCTACCTTCCCAGCCCCTGGTACTGGTTCTTAAACTCAGGGCCTGTGTGCTGTCCTTTAGCTTTTTCACTCAAGGCTAGCACACTATACCGTTTGAGACACAACTCCACTTCTGCCTTTTGGTAGTTTACTAATGATAAGAGTCTCACAAATTTCCCTGCCTGGGCTGGCTTCAAACCATAATCCCCAGATCTTAGTTTCCTCAGTAGCTAGGATTACAAGTGTGAGCCACCAGCATCTGGCTATTATTCTTTAGGTTGTACATGTACAGTTGTATCTAAATTATCTTTCATAATAACCAATGTTTGATTCACACAGAACAGCACCCAGGGCTGGGAATGTGGCTTAGTGATAGTGCTTGCCTAGCATGCATGAAGCCCTGGGTTCAATTCCTTAGTACCATATAAACAGAAAAAGCTGGAAGTGGTGCCATGGCTCAAGTGGTAGAGTGCTAGCCTTGAGCAAAAGAAGCTCAGGCTCTGAGTTCAAGTCTCAGGACTGGCAAAGAGGGAGAGAGACAGAGACAGAGAGACAAAGAGAGAGGGAGAGGGGAGGGAGGCTGGGAAGGTGGCTCAGTGGTAGAGTGCTTGCCTTGCATGCATGAGGCCCTGGGTTCAATTCCTCAGCACCACATCAGCAGAAAAAGCCAGAAGTGGCGCTGTGGCTCAAGTGACAGAGTACTTGAGCTGAAGAGCTGAGGGACAGTGCCCAGGCCCCAGTTCAAGCCCCATTACTGACCAAAAAGAGAGAGAGAGAGAGAGAATAGCACCCTGTGCTTTTGATAAGGTAGAGATTATGTAATTTAAGTGCCAGACCACAGTATTAAGCCCTTAATTTTGAGGGCTTTGGTCCTCTGAATCAGTTTCACCAGGAACAATGTAAGCCAGTGGTATGACTAAGACTTTGTCCTCTGGTTTGTGGCTTCTGTTCCCTTTCTCCCTCTCCCCTTCCTCTTGCTCCTTTTCCTTTCACTTCCAATGAAAACACCTGCAGCCATGTACACTCACACACTGAAAGCCAGACTCTCCTGTCCTGGGGTCTTGGGGCTTTCCCAGAGGGCAAAGGCGACCCGTGATGCACTGAAATAGGTGTTCTTGGTCCCAGTTCCACCCATGTCTTTCCCACTGAGGCAATTCTGCCTTTTCTGAGTTTCTCAAGAGTAAACATAAACAAGCATGTCAATCTCCCTCATCTTAGCCTCTGGATAAATACTGTGAAGTGCTGTGTTCTCACAATACTGGGCACTTACTGTGCTGGGCACTGGTGTCTCACACCTGTAATCCTCGTTATTCATGAGGCTGAGATCTGAGGATGAGTTCAAAGCCACGCTGGGCAGGAAAGTCCATGAGACTCTTATCTCCAATTAAACAGCAAAAAGCCAGAAGTGAAAGGACGGACCTAGAACAAATCAAATTAAGTGAGATAAGCCAAGCTCAGAGAAACAAATGGTACATGTTTTCTCTCATATGCAGGTGCTAGAGCTAAAATACAATGTATGATAAATGAAACAGGACTCTAAGCATTCACACACAGTGAGGCCAAAGGAGGATACTCTTAGGAGAGGAAAACAGGCTAAGTGGCTATGTGCCTCTGGTCATATACAATAATATGTATTGAAATGACCTCCAGAAAATGGAAACAAGAGGGTTTATTTTTTTCTTTGTTGCAGTTTGTGTTTTCCTTCCTTCCTTCCTTCCTTCCTTTCTTTCTTTTTTTGTTGGTCTTGAACTCTGGAGGCTTGGGAGCTGTTCCTCAGCTCTTCAGCTCAAGGCAAACACTCTACCACTTGAGCCACAGCGCCACTTCCGGCTTTTTCTGCTTATGTGGTGCTGAGGAATCGAACCCAGGGCCTCATGCATGCAAGGCAAGCACTCTACCACTGAGCCACCTTCCCAGCCCAATAAACAATTTTTTTTAAAAAAAATAAATGTAATACTGGTCAAAAAAAGCCAGAAGTGAAGCTGTGGCTCAAGTACTAGTCTTGAGCCAAAAAGCTCAGACACACCACCTAGGCCCTGAGTTCAAGACTTAGTACCAGGAAACACACACACACAGCGCTGTGATCTTGGAAGGGACGCTGCCACTGACCTGGGCATCAGCCTTTTCCTTGCCCTGGCTTTTGTCCTCACTGTGCAACTTCAGGTGGCAACCATCGTTCCATCCTGGGTAAGTAGCTATTTCAGAAAAAGAGTATTGGCTCCTGCGAGTGTGCCAGCCTCTGTGTACCGGGCATCCGTCAGGGTAATTGGTCTGCGTCTGACCCGCTTTTATCTACTTCGGTCGGTGCGTGGGCCCCTCTCTGAACCTCCTTCACTCTACGTGCACCTTCATCATGCCGGTGGACTAGTCCAGTCCTAGGTACCGAATAGTTGCGCGCACCTGGTGGCGCGTGCTTACCTGGCGTGGGGCGGGCCGGCAGGCCGCGCGCTCCCTGCAGCCGTCTGCAGTGGGGCCGCGGAGGCCTGGAGACGCGGGCAGTGGACCGCGACTGGGAACCCTGACCTGACTGACACTCAGCAGACTGCACGCAGGAGGCGGGGAAGGCGGGTCTGGGGCGTGGCTTGGGCGGTGGGCGTGGCTTGGGGTGGGTGTGTCCGGGGCGGGGCGTCCCGGGGGCGGAGCAGGAAGGGGCGGCGGCCGTACCCGGCTTCCGCGTCGCGGTCCTTAAAGCACCTGCTCGTCCTCCGCCCGTACGAAGGCGCCGCCTGCTGACCCCCGGGACGCGGCCCCATGGAGACGCCGCCGTCCGCGGCTGGCGCTTGGCGGGGTGAGTGGGCGGCGGGGAAGGCGCGCGGGGCGGAAGGGGGTGAGGGGGGGTTCCGGCGGGGTCGGAGCCGAGCGGAGGAACACGGGGCCGGTGCTGCCCGCCTCGCCGGGCCGGCCTCGCCGGGCCGGCCTCCCGCCTCGCCGGTCTTCAGGATCCCTGTAGCTTAGCTCAAGTTTGGGGAGCCCCGGGAAGGAGGCGCCGAGCGCGCCCGGGTCTCGGTCCGGGACGGGCTGGCGTCACCGCCGCCCGGCAGCCAACCAGAGCCTCCCAGCAACTTTTCTCCCCGGTTGGTCACCCCGGAAACTTCCCTCCCCCGTCCCGTCCGGGAGTCCAGCCACGGGCCGGCACCTCCTAGGCCTGGGCCCTCGAGTGTGGGACGGGTGGACGGAGGTGATGGCTTCCACCGGGAACTCCCCTCCCGCCGTCCCCAGCCCCCCCCCCCCCCGCCCGCTGCGCACACACAACGCACTCACAACCCCAAGTTTCCATCCGAGAGCCCCGCCCCTGCCTTCTGGGCCCCCTGGGTTGACGTGGGGGTGATTTGGGTTGTGGGGGGAGGTGAAGTTAGACCAAGTTCAAATTCTTCGGTCGCCAGTGAACTGCAGAATGACCTTGAGCAAGTTCTCAATGCTTGTGCCTCCGTTTCCCCCCCCCCCCCCCCCCCCGTATATAATGAGAATGATGATCATCCCCAGCTGAGGCTAGCTTAAGCTGACACATGTGGATGGTTGTAAGTAGTCGGTGTGGTGGGGCAGGCAGGAGAAAATGAAAGTGACATTCCTCGTTCCTCAACTCTGTGGTCGTCCCCCAGGAGTTGTGACAGGTGCCTTTCTGCAGTCCGAGATATGAATGGCCCCTGTGACACGGACAGGCTTATCCAGGAAGCCAACTCCATCATGAGTTTGTGGGGTCCTGAGGACAGCTACAGCTGTCAGGGAACCCCCCAACCAGCCCAGGAACCTGCCACTGAAGAGGCCTTGGCTTCAGAGCTGCAAATGAAGGTGGACTTCTTCCGGAAGCTGGGCTATTCATCCTCTGAGATCCACGGAGTCCTACAGAAACTGGGGGCCCATGCAGACACTAACACCGTGCTCGGGGAACTGGTGAAACATGGCTCAGCCTCGGAGCGGGAGCACCAAGTCCCACCAGACTCCTGCCCTCAGCCCCCTCTGGTGCCTCGGGGTGGGGGCACCCCTAAGGCTCCCGCCCTGGAGCCCATACTCCCAGAAGAGGACAAAGAAGGCAGCCACCTGAGGCCTGTGGTCATCGATGGAAGCAATGTGGCCATGAGGTACGTGCCACCTCAAGAGAGGATGGATGGCATGGAATGGTTGTGGTGTGCCTCTACCACAGTGGTGGAGGGGCATACAGGCAGGAGGTTGACTCCCCCATGGACTGCTGGTGAGGGGAAGGGGAAGTCCTCCATGTGGCCCTACTGCACGACGCTGGCTCCCTTAAACCAGACTTTGGGTTTTTCAGCAATGGCCTAGGATTGAAAACACAGGGGTTCAAAGCCTTGTCCAGTGCCACACTACTGCTGAGTAATAGGGCCAGGGTTCAAATCTAGAATCTTCTGGCCTCAGAGCTCACTTTTTACTGTGTAGTCCCTGATTAAGCTACTCTCTCAAGCCTCCATTCCTCACTTGTGACAGGATGCCAGATGGTGCCAGGGATTAGCCTGTAGGCACCAGCTCTCTGTAGGAGCCAATCACATAATGAGCCTCATTTTCTCATCTGAAAGACAGAACTATAGCACCCCTTGGGTGGTCCTCATGGGAGTAACTGCTATAGAACCTGGAGGGCCCCAAATGCCTGGCAGTAGTTATTCAGGGGCTGGGTCCTCTGAGGTTTCCTCTGAGGGGAAGTCACCCTGGCTTCCCAAGGTGTGTTGTGGGCAGGTAGCTGATGCTCTGGCTGAAGGTGAATGCACACCAGGCAGATGGACTGCCTGGACTAGACTGGTCTTTAGGGGATTCCTGGCCTTGTACTTGTCTCCCAAGCACATCTTACAGGGAATAGGATGAGGTGGAGGCAGAGGGTGAGGGGAGGCTGCCATTGACCTGACTTCTCCCTTCAATCTAGGCCCCACCCTCTGGCCCTCCTTTCTCCCAGTTCGCTGCACTGTGGCTGGTGAGTCAGGTCTGGGTGGATCACCCAGAAGGAAAGGTTCCTGTCTGGCATGGACCCGGGGAGACCCCAGACACAGGGGAGGGTTTCTCTGCTGGCCTGAGAGATCAGGTGGGCTGCTGGAGGCTGGTATGACATCAGCCTCTTCTCTCTGGCACTTGGCCACACCTACTCCCAGCCCAGCAAGGGCAAGTGAGCTGTTTAGCTGGTCTTGGCCCGGCTCAGCAGGCATGCAGGTGAGCCAGCTCTCTTCCATCCCGTCTTCTGGTCTCTAAATGGACTGGTCCTGGACAGGAAGCTGAGATACATTGGGACAAGCAGGTACAGCCTGTGCCTTGAGAGTTCAGGATCCTCTCTCAGGCTCCAGCCTGATCTGGGTTAGAGGGTCTGTGACTTCTAGGCAGAAGGAGTCTGGGGCAGGGAGGAGAGCCAGTGGTAGAGGGGTACAGGGGAGCTGAGGTAGCGCTGAGAGAGCCTTTGCCTGCCGGCCTGACTGCTGGGGGTTTCTAGGCTGGGGCCGAGGCAAGAGGGGAATTCCAACCTCGTACTTCCTGTCTCAGCTGCTGCTACGTTCCTGCCCTTCTGCCCCCTCCCCCCAAGTGCAGGCGGGCTAGCCCCTACCACATGCAAATTGTGGGGAAATTCACCTCTGTTTCCTTCTAAGGGAATTTTTCTCCACTAGTCCAGCCCAGCCCAGGCAAATCTTTTCACCTGGGGAGCCTGGCCCAGCCCTGCCCTGCCCTCTGTCCTGGGGCGGGAGCCACGAAGCTGGAGTCTCCCACATAAACACATCTCTTCAGTCCGGTTGGCTGGGCCAGGCTGCCGGTGCTGCAGACCTTCAGGCAAGCTGGACTCCAGGGGTGGAAACCTATCTAGTTTTTCCTGGGCCAGTTCCTGAGTTGCAGTGAACTGGATGGAAGTCTAAGGTACCCAGGCATGGGATGTTGTGGTTCTGCCAAGAGTAGCACTGTGCCTACCTGCTGAAGGAACATTCCAGATGCCAGGGCTCCTGAGAGCAGACTCATTCCCAGCCAGCGTTTTCAGTGTCCAGAGGCACTGCACACCCTAGCGTGCCCAGGCTTAGCAGTTCTGGCCCAGGAGGAGCGAGCGCACACACAGGTGAGTGGTGTGTGTGATCGGTGTAGCTACCACCTGGGGAGACAGCAGAGGGCTCTCAGGTGACAGTGTGACGGGGAAGCACTGGACATTGCAAAGACACAGATCAAGGACCTGACCCGTCCTGGCAGGTCAGGAAAGGCTTCTCAAGCTACGGAGCCTTCAGTGGCTCTTGGAGGGGCAGGAGTTTGCAATGTTCATCATTTTTCCTGTTCCCAGACTGCTCCTTCATCTGCTTTCTTCCTCCCAAAGTTTTGTGGGAGCATACACTTACATTCTTAGCACTTAGGAGGCAGGAACATTGAGAGTTCAAAGCCCGCCTGGGCCACATAGGAAGTTCCAGTCAACTTGGATAAGACCCTGTCTCAACACTTCAGGTCTTATGTTAGGGGCAGGAAGGTAATCCAGTGGCACCAGTTCCAGTTCAATTCCAGGTGTCCTTGGAATAGCCAGGGAGGATAAAGTGCTGCCTCTGGCCTCCGGTTGTCGTCAGTCCTGCTCATAATTGTGTGAGCATCAACAGAGAGTGGTTATGAACACTGGCTCTAATTCTGCATCTCTGCTTCATTATTGCTGTGTGACTTTAGTGACTAAGTGACCCTCTCTGGGCCAATTTCCTCATCTGAAGAAAAGGAGGGAAAGGCCCATGACAATACTCATGGGTTTATTGATGATTCAGTGTTGAGACTTAGACTATCAGGTTGGTAGCTTTTGGTAAATGTTAACTGACAAGCAACTGAATGATAGGAAGGTACCAGGCAAGGATGAAGGCTGCACTGGAGCTGGACTGTGTCTCCCCTACAATTTATACTAGACCCTGGAGCCCATTATACCCCCCAGACAACCTCCATGCTTTCCACCACCCCACTGCCCACTTCTCTTGGGGCTCCAGCTATGCCCCCTACCCCCACACACAGGATGTGGTCTGCTATGGACTTGCCTCTTTTGCGTAACGTTTATTCTGCCATATTTTCCAGACACAAGAGTCTGAGTTGTTCATTAAGGGGTCAGTGAAAGACAGAGCTCTGGGCAGGGAGCCCCCAACCCCAGATCTTTCCTCCCTTGACAGGAAGTCCACTTTGCTGACCTTGCCTTGGCATCAGCATGAAACTTGTCCACTGACATGGCCTGTCTAAGGAAGCTCCTGTCCACTGGGCCCATTTTTCTGATGGAGAAACAGAGTCAGGGCAACCCCTTCAAGACTGTCTTCTCAGTAATCCAGCCAGTTTGGTGAGATCTGGCCCACAGACCTGGGCTGGCAGGGTATCATTGCCCTAGCTCTTCTGGCCAGCTAGTGGAATCTCTAACACTGCCTGGCCATCTTTTTGCCTCAGTCCCAGAGGAAGTGAGGGGACGGGGCAGGGGGGGGGGGGGCGGGGAGGAGCCTACAGCGGCTCAGGGAATTGGCCTCTTGGTAGGAAAAGCTTTGCCTTTCACTTTCACACTGCACATCGAGAGACCCACTGTCACTTCCTGTCCCAAGTGTAGCAGACTGACACCCCTTTGGGGTGCTAGCCTATAGCATGGTGCACAGACTGAACTTTAATCCGGAAAGATCTGGTTTCTCTCTGGTGAGCCTGGCTGGTGCTTCCCCCGCCCCCAACGCAGCGCAGTGCTGTGTCACGGCGTTGCTGTGGAGCCGTGGTGTTGGAGGGGGTGACTCAGTGGGCGTGCGCACATCTGTGTCCCTGTGGTCCTGGCAGCTTGAGGCAGGGCAGCAACTCAGTACCTTTCCCTGGCCCCAGGTGTGTTGTAAGTGGCCCGGCCCTCGCCAAACATGGGTAGCCAACGCTGCCAGATTCCTCGGTGGATCCATACTTTGAGATGGAATCTCAGGGAAAGTCCCTGGGCTGGGGCTGGCCATCCCAGCACTGTGGCAACAGCCCAGGGAACCAGGCCTCAGGCCCCACTGGCCACAGGCCAGGGGCCGGAACAAGAGCTGCCTTATGTTCTTGCTCAGGCCCTGGTGACAGCGTGCTGGCTGCCCGCCCTCAAGAGCTGACCTGTCCCTCCCCTCCCTCCCAGCCACGGGAACAAGGAGATCTTCTCCTGCCGGGGCATCCTGCTGGCTGTGAACTGGTTTCTAGAGCGGGGCCACACCGACATCACAGTGTTTGTGCCATCCTGGAGGAAGGAGCAGCCTCGGCCCGACGTGCCCATCACAGGTATGTACGTGCACTGCCCTGGGGCCCTGCTTTTCCCCATGACACCCAAGCCGGGAGCATCAGCTCTTGTCCTAGTTTTTAACTCTCCTCAGAAATCACCGTCATCAGCCCAACACTGGTGGCTCCTGTCTGTAATCCTTAGCTACCCAGAAGGCTGAGATCAGAGGATTGCAATTCATGGTCAGCCTAGGCAGAAAAGCCTGTGAGACTCCATCTCCAGTTAAATAGAAAAAAGCAGGGCTGGGCCGGGCGCTGGTGGCTCACGCCTGTAATCCTAGCTACTCAGGAGGCTGAGATCTGAGGATCGCGGTTCAAAGCCAGCCCAGGCAGGAGAGACCGTGAGACTCCTATCTCCAATAAACCACCAGAAAACCGGAAGTGGCGCTGTAGCTCAAGTGGTAGAGCGCTCGCCTTGAGCTGAAGAGCTGAGGGACAGCGCCCAGGCCCAGAGTTCAAGCCCCACGACCGACCAAAAAAAAAAAAAAAAAAAAAGAAAGAAAAAAGCAGGGCTGGAAGCATGGCTCAAGTAATAGAGCAGCAAGCTGAGCAAAACTTTGGAATGCCGAATTAAAGCTAGAAGCAGAAAAAAAAAAAAGGTGAGGGGAGGGACAGGAAGGAGAAATTGCTTTGTGCAGCCTCTGCCTCCAATCCTAGGCATTTCCCATGTTATGCCTTCAACCTCCCCAGTGGCAGAGGAGCACTATAGCTTAATACCTGAGGCTGTGGGCACTGGGCCAGGGCAACCAGGGTTGGAATCGTGGCTCTCCGCCCCAGACAAGGACTTTGATTCCCCCACCTCCACCCCCGGCCTCCTGCCCCTCCTATGTAAAATGGGGGTGAGGTGGAAGTTGGGTGACAAGGCTGCATGCCTTAGCCTAGGAGTACTTAGGAAAGCGTTGGGCATAGGATGAGTGCTTCTTTCCCCTTTCAAGACCCCCAACTTCAGAGAGAAACTTGTTTATAAGTGTGGAGATCTAGGGGGCAGGGTGATAGGGCTGTGGGCTCCAGGAAGAGCTGCCCTTTCCAAACAAGAACTAGTAAGTAGCCTTGTCCTGCCTATGCAAGGGACAAGCCAGGGTGCTTCTCCATGAACCCCTACAGGACAGGCTGTTGAACAGCCAAAGCCAAGACCACCTCTGGCTCCAACAACCCTGCACCCAGAGCAGGGGAAGTAAACAGGCCAATAGAACAGCCCTGTGACAGTTCTTGGACTTCAGGCAGGCAGCAGACTCTGGCAGTGAACTTGGCACGGCTGGGTTTCTGCTGTGAATTGGGGTATTAACAGCCCCTGGCCGCCAGGAGATTGGACGGCCCTGTGGGCTTGATTCAGTCCCTGCAGGGCCCTGACCTATGCCACTTCACTCCCTCAGACCAGCACATCCTTCGGGAACTGGAGAAGAAGAAGATCCTGGTGTTCACCCCATCTCGGCGTGTGGGTGGCAAGCGGGTGGTGTGCTACGATGACCGCTTCATCGTGAAGCTGGCCTTTGAGTCTGACGGCGTTGTCGTCTCCAATGACACCTACCGTGACCTCCAGAATGAGAGGCAGGAGTGGAAGCGCTTCATAGAGGAGCGGCTGCTCATGTACTCCTTCGTCAATGACAAGTATGCTTGCATCCGGGACCCAGAGCCCCCAGGGTCTGGGTACCAGGCAAATCTGGGAGGAAGGTGGATGGGCCGAGTGCAGACTGGGACCTGGCGGGTGAGGATCTTGATTTGGAGATGGGCTGGGGTCTATTCTTCAGCTGTCCACATTGCTTCCCCCCAGCAGATACAGCTATAGGATGTGGCCTCCTAACCACCTAGGGAGCACCCAGCCTTGAAGTTACCTAAAGGTGTCCCTGGGCTGTGACCCTCTAGATGGGGATCCCTTTTCCCTTGGCTAACCCCAATAGCGTGAAAGAGCTTGGATATCAGGACGTGGGAACCCATTTTAGGGCTATTTTCCCAGTCTTCTCAGTGAGGCTGCCCATCCAGCCCTGCCCTTCCATATATAGAAGTTCCCTAGGTGTCTTGCTCCCATTGAGAGATCTTTTTTCCCCTCTGTAGGTTCATGCCCCCTGATGACCCCCTTGGCAGGCATGGGCCTAGCCTAGACAACTTCCTGCGTAAGAAGCCACTGCTTTCTGAGCACAAGCAGCAGCCTTGTCCCTATGGTAAGACCAGCTCGGCCTTTATACCTTCCTTAACCCTGCACCTCCGCTTACCTGAGTCTGCCCCTGCCCCAGCTGCTTCCTCTCCTCAGGCCCCAGCTCACCACGCCTCCCCTCCTCTGGCAGGGAGGAAGTGCACCTATGGGATCAAGTGCCGATTCTTCCACCCAGAGCGGCCAAGCCGCCCCCAGCGCTCTGTGGCAGATGAGCTCCGTGCCAACGCCCTCCTCTCACCCCCCCGGACCCCCGGCAAGAACAAAAGTAGCCAGCGGCCTTCACCTACCCCGAAGTCCACATCCGTGCCACTAGACAGTGAGCACAACAGCCTGGATGGGAAGAAGCTGGGGGTCCAGGCATCCCCAGGGCCCCACCAGGATGGCCTCACACCAGCCTTTGCCCCAGCAGGCAGGAGCCTTCCACTTAGTGGTGGCGGTGGCAGCAGTTTTGGGCCCAAAGACTGGGTCCCCCAGACCCTGGATTCACTCCCATACACCTCCCAGGACTGCCTGGATTCTGGCATTGGCTCCTTGGAGAGTCAGATGTCAGAACTGTGGGGGGTGCGAGGAGGGGGTGCTGGAGAGCCAGGCCCCCCTCGAGGCCCTTACTCTGGCTACCGCCCCTATGGATCTGAGCACCCTGCTGCACCTGCCTTCCCTGCTTTTGGCCACTTTAGTGTCCCCGCTGACTATGCGCCTCCCCCACCTGCCTTTGCACCCCGAGAGTACTGGTCTGAGCCATACCCACTACCCCCACCAACCCCAGGCCTTCAGAAGCCCCAGATACCCAGCACAGGGGCTGGCCGCACCCCTTGGAGCAGGGCAGGCAGCCTGGCAAAGGAGCGGGCTGGTGTGTACACCAAGTTGTGTGGTGTCTTCCCCCCACACCTGGTGGAGGCTGTGATGGCGCGTTTCCCACAGCTCCTGGACCCCCAGCAACTGGCCGCCAAGATCCTCTCCTGTAAGCACCTCAGTGAGTAAGCCAGTGTGTGGCCCATGGCCCACAGGCATGGCAGGGAGGAGTAGGGGAGGGAAAGGAACCCCAAACCAAAGATACTGTAGGATTGTTTCTGGCCCCCATGGCACCTCTAGCTGTGTGGGTCATAAGCGATCACCCTGTTGATACACATTGTATCTCTGTCATTTAGGCTCTCGGTCTGGGGCTGAGGCCCAAACCCTCTTTTCTCAGTGGGTGAGGAGGAAGGCCTTGGGGAGCAGAGGCCCCAGCGGGGTCCTATGCTCAGCCCTTTCCCTGCTCCACCTCACCCCTGGGATGCCGGTGTGGCCGGCTAGTTGGGCACTGTGTGCCTTCCCTCCAGGAACCCTCCTCAGAAGCCAATGCAGCCTCACCCTGCTCTCGCAGGCCATGAGGCTTCATGTTAGTAAGCAAGATGCTCCTTAATAACCCACCTCCACCCCCTCCGCTCACCCATCCCATCGCCCCTGCCAGGGTCCAGAGCCCCCTGTCCCATTCTCTCTTGCCCTTCCCCAAAGATGGGGGATGACATGTATGCTGTGTACAGACATAAATTTAAAATATTTTAAGTGAAAACTCCGTATCTCTATAAGGTATCAATAAAGAATGTCAGCCATTTTAAAAGTTCATCTTTGTTGTGTATGAGTGAAAGAAAGCAGGCCACTCCCAGCCTGCTGGTCCCAGGAACTCCACGCCATTCTGTTCTCAGTTAAGATTTCCAGAAGTGCTGTGTCCCTTGTGGCTGGAGCATCTTTCCTAAGGCTTTGGGCTGGCCTTGGTAAGAGCAAGGAGCAGTGGACACACAGCAGGGGGCAGGGCTGCAATGGAGGGGATAGGAGGCAAGGTTGAAGTACAAAGGGTAGGACAAGATAGAGCTGTTCTGTTCTGTGCTGGCCAGAGCTGAAGATGAGAAATGACTTGGCAGATAAAATGGCTTGTGAGGGAGCCCTAGGGTGCTCCTCTGGCCCCTCCCAGATACTGTAGCCTAGAACTTTCGTCACAGAGCAGGGAGGAGAGGACTAGGTGGCAGCAGCTTGGGGAGGTATTGCCAAGGGGCCCTCCAGCAGGTTGGGGGTCCTAGAACCAACTCAAGAACAGGTTGTGCCACTGGTTATGTCACCAGGGGCAAGTGGCTGTCCCTCACAGGCCTCGTCTGTGAAATGGGGCAGTTACTTTACAGGGTTGTCATAAGGATTCCACAAGATGGTACATGCTAGGTGTGTAACGCAACACCTGCCACATAGGAAGTGCTCATTAAGAGGCTTGGATGTGACTCCTATAGGCTGGCCTTGGTCCCTGTGTCAAGCTGTTCATCTGTCCCTGGAAAAAAAGAGGCTGGGCATTCTGACATCCTTCCCATCCCCGCCCCTCTGACAGCCAAAAAATAATTTGGATGTTAAATATTTGAAGTAAAATCAGATTGATCCCCCAAATACTATCATCCAGGGAAAATGTACTTACTGTTGGTGGAGCTTGTAGGGCACCTGCATTTTTGTATAGCTGCAAACTGTAGCTATACAGTCCGTGCAAGTATCATCCTACTGTCACCCCTGCATGCAAGGCGGGGCTCACTTTACCAGAAGCATGCTCAAGCCTGGGTATAAGGCAAGGAGGGCCATAGAAATAGCTCTGACAAGCAAGAGCTCAAAATGTCCTCTTCAAGGTATCTGGTCCCTATTGCCTCTAGCCTTCTCATCAGGTTTTATCTGCACTAAGAAATGTCATTGCTTTATTTTATATGCTAGTTTTTCCAATTAATTAGTGCTTCCAGATTAAAAAGCTATTTATGGGCCTCTGTTTGTTTTTATGGGACAGGAAGTGAAAATACTAGACTGTCCAGTTCATTATCAGCCACTTGGCAATGCTGAATGACTTGTCCAAGGTGCCACAGAGGAGGACAGGCTGGGGCAGCACATGAGTATGAGTTCCCTGACCCCAAAACCTGAGATAGGGTAGACATACAGGAATAAGGAAGTAGGGATACCCTCAGCCTCATACCTCAACATTCTCTGAATTGATGGCATTCATATTGGAGTCTCCAACACAGCCTGTTCAGCAGAAGACCCTATAGCCCCATCCACCAAGACTCTCTCTGCATACCTAGTAGTAGTAGAGTCTGTGAGGCTCAGGAGTCTCTTGGAAGGAGAGACAAGGAACTCTTTCCACTTGCTTTTATTTTACCTTTTCTTTGTCCTAGGGTTTGAACTCAGGGCCTGGGTGCTGTCCTTGAGCCTCTATGTGCTCAAGGCTAGCACTCTACCTCTCGAGCCACAGCACCACTTCTAGCTTTTTGAGTAATTAGAGATAAGATCCCAGACTTTTCAGCCTGGGCTGGCTTCTAACCGGGATCCTCAGATCTCAGCCTCCTGAGTAGCTTAGGAGACATGAGCCACCAGCTCTGGGCTATTTACTTTTTAATTTCAAGACGTTTTCTTGTATCCATTTTTCCTCTTCTGTGCTGGTTCTAAGGCTTGAACTCAGGGCCTAAGTGCTATCCCTTAGCTTTTTCACTCAAGGCTGGCACTCTTAAAAGTGTTTCAGACTTATCTTCCTGGCCTGGCTTCAAACCTTGATCTTTAGATCTTAGCGTCCTGTGTAGTTAGGATTATAGAAGTAAGCTACTGACACCCAAGAGTTTTCAAGATAGGTCCCAACACTAAGCTTCTGGTCCATTCTCTCATTGCACAAGCTACAAATGTGTGTTTGGCAAGGGAGGGCCTTCTTTATTTAGTAAACAATTGAAAAGTCACATTTGCTGTTAGGCCAGAGCTGATTTCTAGTCATTTGCTGCGCCTGCTTTTGCAGGTGTAAGGGAAACAGGTGTTTCTACAGCAGATAGGCAATGGCATTGTACCACAGACTATGGCTAATGTTAAAAGGTTGTGCCTGGCCCTGTTCATTCAACAGGCACCCACAAGGAATGGGGAATCCATAAGGCAAGTGCCAGCTAGGGCTGGGCCTGGGTAGGGTCAGGTCATGATGTTCAGTGCCTCTAATGGCCCACATTGACATTCTATGCTTTCTGGACAGGCCTAATCTGGCTAAGCTGGCCTGCCAGGGCTCAGAGCCTCTCTTCCAGGTCTCTTTCTCAATCTAGCCTCTGGCAGAGCCACTCAGAGGCTTCAGGAGCCGATGCCAAGGTTGTTTCTTTCCCATGATTTGGGTTTTGGGGTTTTTTTGGGTCATGGGACCTGAGCACTGTCCCTCAGCTCTTCAGCTCAAGGCGAGTGCTCTCCCATCTGCCACAATGCCACTTCTGGTTTTCTGGTGGTTTATTGGAGATAAAAGAGTTTCACGGCCTTTCCTGCCTGGGCTGGTTTTGGTCTGGGATCCTCAGATTTTAGCCTCTGGAGTAGCCAGGATGAAAGGTGAGCCACCAGTGCCTGGCTTGTTGACTCCAAGTTTTCCCTGCCACGCCCTCTGCCACTGTCCACTCAAGTAGCTTAGGTAGGTGGCATTTATAGAGAGGGCTTTAGTTTTCCCATCTGTGTAAGAGATAGTGTTTACTGCCTGTCTGGATATGACAAGAGAATAACCTCAGTTCACAGGTAGCAGCAGCTAGAGAATGGAAGCCCACACCCTAGCTGTGTGTAGCTGGGCAGCCCACTGCCTTAACAGGGTATCAGCTGTCTGGCCTACAGCAGCTCCTTGTATGCACAGCAGGTGAGAGACTGGCAAAGAAAGAATCTTGATTCCTGAGACCAAAGCTCAAGCCACGGAGGCGGGCAAGCTGGAAGGGATCAAATTCCGAGTAGCTGCCCCACTTGCTCTTTCCGCCTACATTTTCCTGGTTCCAGGAGCCAAGAAACTGATGGGGAAACCAGAGTATGCAAATTCCTGCACTGTTGGGAAATGAGCCTAGGGAGCCACCTTTCCCTAATCTCACCACAGGAACCAACCTTGAGCTTTCCTGTTAAGTTTTGCCAGACCAGCACTAACCCCATCAGTGCACAGACTACCCAGAAGCCAGGATGACTGTGGTCAGACAGCAGCCTGGCTCCCAGGTAGACCAATTCGGCTCACAATGGGTTTAAACATCTCTGTTCCAGATGCCTTGCTGGCTTGTCCAGCTGGGGAAAACTCTTAAGTCCCTAAACATCTAGATCCCAAATCTAACAGCAGGAAAGCTGGGGCTGGGGGTAGGGAGCTTCCCAGTGCTAACCCCCAAACATTACTATATCCTGCATGCTGGCAAGAACTTCAGATTCATCTCTCCACTTCCAGCCTTTCCTACCAGCAGTAGGAGTCCTCTGCCCTCCCTTCTTTCAGATAAAAAGCTTAACACGAAAGAGCAAAGGCCTGCCAAAGTGCTGGGCAGGCATGATAGGTTTCCTTGAACCCTGGCTCATCCTTTTTCCCTAGCCCTTAGTTGAGTAGGTGAGGCAGATTTACATTCTAGCCTATTCCAGGGACCTCCCAGTTTATGGGAAGGGCGTGGGAGATTTGGCTGAAGGAGGTAGGAAGTAGAGCCTAGCAATTAAGGAAACACAAGCCATACCAGGCCATGGCATGTAAAGACTTCTAGCTAGTTCCTGGAGGTGGAGGTGGCCCAGGCTGTTACCTGGGTGTGGCTTCCTCACACTTTTCTCAAGGCCACTGGTGGTGATCTTAAAAACTGCTTATCAATGTAAGAACTAGCAGTAAGACTTTGGTGGGAGGAAAGGCTCAAGGACTCTGGCCCACACTACACTGGGCCTGAGGCTGGGAACAGTCCAGAGATAGATTCTGGCTGCTCTCCAGGCCCTTGTTGAAGACACCCAGTGGCCCGCCTGCCACCTACTGGTGGATCCTGGTACTACTGCCTTCTGTGCTAGGACTTGCTAAGAGGCTGCCACAAACAACTTAAACATGGGTGGCCTACAGGAGGATCAAGAAGAGTAGTTAGCGGTGCGCTGGTATGCCTGTAATCCTAGCTACTCAGAAGACTGAGATCTGTGAGTCGAGGTTCAAAGCCAGCCTGGCCAGGAAAGGCTGTGAAACTCTTATCGCCAATAAACCACCAGAAAACCAGAAGTGGCACTGTGGCTCAGGTGGTAGGCACT